CCTTTTGAGCATTTGACCAGCTTAATAGAATACAGCTGGTCCGATTCCAATCATCTCCAACTTAATGAAATTGTTGCACTTTTTAATAACTACCTTTGCGAATATTAAATAATCAAATTTATCAACTCAGCAAAATATAAAAATTTTTATATTCCAACCTAATCTTAAGGTTTTTCGTTTTTTAATTATTTTGCACATACACGGACAAAAATATGGGTTTAATTTTTAAACCGAGCTGGGACTACTGCCTTTTTTAATATTTTATAGTCTACTTTTTAAACCAGTCAATAGCTTTAAGCAATTTTTAATATCGTCTGGTTTAAATTTTAGTCTAGCAGACGAGAAAATGATATTTCACTATGAGTGGTTTAAAAATCAAACCAAAATGTTTTAATTCTAATTTCTAGGTTTCATATATAGAAAGTTTTGTTTAAAATCTGAACCGAAATAGAAAATGTTTGCCTCAATATGCCTTATTTTATATGTCTCTCAGAGAGGGAGAGCAAATCTTATGAACTGGCGGCAGTGATCGGACTTCTACCACATTGTGGTAGAGATCTGCCACTTTTTTGAGCATCTACCATATCTACCACACAAGGTCTGAAATCTACCACATATTCGCGTTTTTGAGTAGTTTTATTTTTGCTCGACATAATTTTCTTAATTTCAAGAGCAAAAATTGTCCAACACTAACTACAGGCAGAATGGGAGGATAAACTAAACTGTAAAATAGTAATTTCTTTTTCAATATTCAATTTTTCGACATCAAACGTGGTTTTATTGTGTTAAATTACAAAATATATGATTTATAAAAATAATAGCGAAAATGATAAAACCGGAGATTTTTGTGAAAGCATTAGCAAATTTCAGTGCATCTAAAATTTCTAAAGCGTTGTTTACTTTTACTTGAGAATTGCCAAAATCGGCAAATCCCAAGTAGCGGTTTCTGGAACGAGCCACATTTGTTCGCTACGTCGTGATGTGATAAAAAGAAAAGCTACACTGAGGGAAATAATGCATAGTAAAAATTAATACTTTATATTTGATTATCGTTTAAAAATGTTCGTATTTAAAAATAATATTTTCATACAAAATTTATTACGCACGTATTTGACTGTTCACATCTGAGAATGTATATGTAAGTGTACATACGCACCTCTAGCATGCAGAGCGCCGCTCTGAGAGCGGTGACAACACACACATACATACATAGTACAAATCGCGTGCTGTGGTGTTGATGGGTATTCAACATTTGAAAGCTGGGTGTAGCTGAGTGCGCAAAGATGCTTGCCACAAGTTGTTGATATCCGGAGATGGTCGAATTCCACTGCAGGCAATATGCAAATTATTTTTTTTTTAGTTTTTGTCTTGATTATTCACTTCGCGGGTGCTTTTTCAGTATGAACGCGGCCATTTTTATATCCGCGTAATTAGATTGAATATTTAAGTAAGATCAATTACGTTTCTATTTGATTATTTTTTTTCTCAGTGTAGCAGCACTCCGCAAGGTTGCAGAAATCTTTCAAAATAGCTACGATCCAGTACTCCATGAACTTACAGGTTTTTACACGAACTTGCAGGAAGTTACAGGAAAAATGTTTCCGTACTCCGAAATCCTGTAAATGAGAGCGAATTTTGGAGAGTTGTGTAGAGAATGAAGTTGCAAGATTTTACCCGAACTTTTTCTTCTGGTAAAATAATGAAAGTCAAACGATCGGCTGTTTGACGTTTTTACAGAAAAAATTCATTTTTGTTCCCGTACTTTTTGTTTGTTACTCACTTTGTACTCTCACTTCAGAGAGAAATTTTGCTGTTTGACATTTTTACAGGATTTTACACGAAAAGTGTTGGCTCAGAGCTAATATGTTCGAAACTGTCAAGGAAAAAATTGCCAAAACTCAACGCAATTTTTAGCAACTTCAATCTTGTACTTTAATATACTAAAATTAATTTTGTTTTAGATTCTAAAGAAAATGTTGACAATTTAGGTGAAACCTTGCAGAACTTTTTTAATTTTTGTACAAAGTTTGATCCAAAACCTTAGATCTACCACATGTTTTTGAAATCTACCACATTTTTTTTTAAGTCCGATCACTGACTGCAGCATCAACACAGCGAAATGTGGTGTTGATTCAAACTCAATATATGATAACACATTTACATGCATGGCTGTAGCTGAGTGTGCAAAGGTGCTTGATACCAAGGCTGTCCGGGTTCAATCCCCATCAGACGGAGCATGATATTTAAGATTTTTTTTAGTTTTATTCTTAATTATGAAAAAGCTTTCGTGAAGTGTAACGTGAAGCAAACGAAATAGAAAATGTTTGGGTTTAAAATTTAAACCGAACTGTTTAAATTCTAAACCCAACATATATGATCTCTTTTTTTTAAACTTGGAAGGTTTGTATTTGAAACTGAATTTAATTTAAAGTTTAAAATTAAAACCGAAATTTTTAACCGTATATGTATGTACTAACCAGACCACAATCAGTTCGTACGCCTGAACACTTTTAAATATTTTCACTTGATACTTTTATATACATACATACTAGAGACCAGAGTACGAGTATTAGCATGATAAAAATATAGTAAGGTAGAACCGTTGAGTCACTTTTGAAATTCTTGACGTTTCCAAACAATTTAATTTTTAAATTTACTCACAAACTTACACACACATTTTCATTTTCAATCTCAAGCAACAACAATTTCGAACAATTTCAATTTTTTATTTTCACTTTTATATGATTTTAAAATGTTGACAAACTTCAAAAAAAATCATGGCCGACAAATTGAGAGAACGGTTCTACCTTGCTATGTTTTTATCATGAGTATTAGTAATCTTTTTATGAGTACAGCGATGCTTTTTTGGAATCGTATAATCGCTCACATGATGCCGATTCTGCCGATGCGACGTCGTTGGATCAGACGATTACTATTTTTACTCCGCCGTAAGCGCGTCACGAGCGAAAAAAGTTAAACGAAATGCAACAAATACACATGTTTGAGACATTGCCATTAATAATGAAATAAATCAAAAGATTTGATCTAATAATTTTGCGGCTAAACAAAAAAATTAATAAATTGTAAAAACCACCGTTATTGAACTCTTTATTTAATTTTATAATTCATATTTTATAATAGAGAATTGTGTTGGAAACGTACATAAAACAAAATTGCATCCAATCTTTAACTGTCTAAATATTTTCTTCTGCCCTATAAAATGCGCCTCTGTTTTGCCGTAAAATGTTTATTTCTAATGCTTACACGTTTCAATAAATTTCTAAGTTTTGTTGTTTTGACACATATTTCAAATCGAACTTCGCTCATAGTAAACGTCTCATATGAAAATGATAATGTGAAAAAATATCCGTTTGCTACCAAGTAAAACGATGCTTTTCCTACGATGTCAAATTTAAATTCAAATATTCGCATCGTTTCTATTCATACTCGGCGATTATTAACTTGTTATATTTTCACTTACTCGTGCAGGTCTGTAATACAACATATGTATGTACATTAGACTGCATCACCAAAAAAAGTTGCGGTTTTCCGCCGGGATTACAAAATTTATTATATTTTAACACGTCCACCAAAATATTTCGGAAAAATATTTAGATTTAAGTGAGCTGGACCGATTTGAAAAGACCTCCAAAAATGGAGTTTTTTATGAATAAAAATAGTTTCTTAAAGAACTTTTTGAAAAAAGTCCCCTCTGATGACAACACAAATTAGGCTTAAAAACTCTGCATAAAAATATTTAAAAACCTTTTCAACGGAATCGCAATAATGATATTTTTGATGCTGTTTTTTTTACTTTTTTCAAAGATTGATTTACGAAAAACTTAAATAACTGGGTTATAACTATTCTGATTTAGACTTATGGGAAAGGTATTTTCCCACTATTTTTATTTATGTGAAAAAAAAGTCATTCGTGTCCCAATATTTTTTTTATTCAAATACCAACACATCTTAATTCAACTTTGAATAATGTTCGTTCACCCTACCTTTCTCTTTCATCCTTTGAATGAGTTTATTAGCAAAGAAATAAAAAGGGTGAGAAAATACCTTTCCAATGATATCTCACAAGTCTAAATCGGGAGAGTTTAGGCTCAGTTATTCAAGTTTTTCTTATACCAATCTTTGAAAAAAGTTAAAAACAGCATCAAAAATTTCATTATCACGATTCTGTTAAAAATTTAAAAAAAAAATTTTACGCAAATTTTTTAAGCTTAAACCGTTTTGTCATTTGGAGGGTTTTTTTCAAAAAAAAAATCTTTAAGAAACTATTTTTATTCATAAAAAACTCCACCTTTGGAGGTATTTTCAAATCGGTCCAGCTCACTTACATCTGAATATTTTTTCGAAATATTTTGGTGGACGTCTTAAAATATAATAGACTTTATGATTCCAATGGAAAAACAGTACCGATTTTTTTTTTTTGTATGGGGAGTGATGCAGTCTAATGTACATATATTAACAAATAAAAGTTTTTAAAACAAAGTTTGTTAATTTTCCAAAGCTTGAAATGAGGTTTCTTAGAATCAAAAGAAAGAGAAAATAACTTACAGAAACAAACAACGTAAATAGCAAGATCTTTCAACAGTCTTATAAAATGCATTTCAACTCAATACGTAGCATCTTAAAAAAATTATTGTTTAACGCTTTGTCAAGCCGCATTTTGCCTTAATAACATTTTCCATCCTTTTTCACATATTTCTATAAAAATTTGTGAAAAGAATGAAAGATTTTTTTTTTTGTAAATCCTACAAATTGAATTGGACGGAATTTTTAAGATTGTTGAAAGATCTCGCTATTTACTTTGTCCTTTTTGTAATTTTTTTTTCTTTTGCAGTTAAGTCTAAAAATCACATTCCAAGCTTTGGGAAATTAACAAACTTTGTATTAATATATGTATGTATGTATATACAAGTTTCAAGTGCAAATATTAAAAATTGTTCCGGCGTACCAACTGATTGTGGTCTGGGTAGTACATATATATGTATATAAATACGCTTATGATATTCTTAACTTTAAATTAAAGTAACGCGTAATCTACAATTTTTTTTCTTGTGCTTATCTGATATACTAAATTTAGCAAATGACATGCGATGGATTAAGTCTTTTCGTAGTTTCACAACAGATGCACTTAAGTATAAAGTATAAAATTGCTCTTAAAAACTACTGGGTATTAGTATGTTTAAGCCTTACTTTGCTTACACATTTCGTATAATGCATAAATGCTAATCTCTTCAATAAAATTTGTATGTGTATTGATAGCGCAACGGAGACGTTTCTTGAAAAGTATCCGGTTCGGATTCATCATCACTCGATGATGGGGGTGTCTCAAGCATCGGCATAGATAGATCCAAATACTCTTCATTAGTTGCGTGATTTGATGCCAGCTGAAGAATCTTGTCCAAATTCTCTACAATCTCCCCAAATGTCGGTCGTACGTTGGCGTCAAAATGCCAACACTGCCGCATTAGCATATATATATTGAGTGAACATCGTGCTGGCTTCTCCATTCGCTGACCAGTTATTAAGTAACTGTAGAGCTCCTCCGCAGACATAATATTGGGATAGGGCTGCTCTCCAAAAGTCATAATCTCCCACAATAATACACCATAGGACCACACATCCGATTGTGAGTCGTAGAACTTTTCTTGTAGCGACTCGGGCGCCATCCACTTGATGGGTAAACGACCGTTGGTGGCCTTTCGGTAATAGTCTGTATCCTGTATATCGCGCGCCAAGCCGAAGTCGGCAATCTTCATAACATAGTCGTCACTCACGAGGACATTGCGAGCCGCCAAATCCCGATGAATACACTGAGAATATTAATGAGTTTTAGTACAAAATTACTTTAAGAATTGTAAAATAGCTAAAAAAAAGTTAAAAAAAACTCACCCTACGTGAAGCAAGGTATTCCATGCCACGTGCAATCTGAAACGCAAAAGACACCAAATTCTTCTCAGTTAGCTGCGGCATATCCTCCAGGCAGTCGCTGCTACGCTGCAAACTCGGACTGCCAACAAAAAGTGGCCTATTCTTTTTCAGAAAGTCTTTCAGATTTCCATGAGGTGCGAATTCCACAATGACCCAAAGCGGCCCATTCTGTGTACAACAGCCCAGCAAGTTGATGATGTTAATATGCTTCCCGATCATTTTCATTACTTCCATTTCCCTTATTAAACTAGCCATGTCTGCATCCGTGTGCTCCTCTTTTACCATTTTTACAGCAACTATGCTCGAAGAGTTATTGGCGGTACGTGGTAAATTGCACGCGTCTGCCATGACTACACGTCCGAAAGCTCCTTCACCTAGCGTCGAGCCTAGGTTCAGTTGCGTACGCGGTATCTCCCAATTGGAGTCGAGCGGAAATTCATATTCATTAAAAGCTTGCGACGAATCCATGTTTGAAGCCTGAAATGTGGTACGTTGTTTCTCAATTTTAATCACAGGCATTTGGAGGTCGCAGGAACTACCCTCGGAAGAAGACGGCCTGTAGATAATAACTTTCTTGGTCCATTGATGAACCGTTTCGATGCGATGCTTCAGCAACTTTTCATGCTTCAGCTTTCGCAAAACATAGATAATGAAGATGGAGCCGAAAAGGAACAGCAGCACAATTACCATTGCTGCTACTGTCATCCAGACAGGATGTGCCCGCCACATCATGTATACTTCCCGGTTGGGCAATTTGTCAACCACATGCAAATACGCGCTTGCCATTGACTCACCCAAATTACTAGCTGCTACACAGGTGTACCAACCTTCGTCCGCATGTGTGACGTTCTCCAATCGAAGGACATTCGGTTTGTCTGGTTCGCCAGATAGTTTGATGAAATCTTTTGCGCTTGGCTGGTTAGAGTTCGCGTTGGCGTTTGCATTGGCAAACATGCGCTCCAACTTATCAATACTTTCATTTGGCGTATTGTACTTTACCCAGAATATATGGGGCTCCAGGTCGGATACGACACGACACTCAAAATATGCGCTGCTATTGGTCAAAACGGTTTGATTTTGTGGAAACTTGTCACTGTGAATGGGCCGAGAGCGCAGACGGTCCATGATGGTTAACTTGGTGCAATGTTCTATGCAACCCAGCTTATTGCATACGGTGCACTTGTAGACGCCCGAATCTTCCGCAATCACTTCGTCCATTTGCATGGACCACTTTTTGTAAGTTACTTTCCCTATATGTCGCATAATTTCAGTGAAATTTTGATCGCTGGCGCTGCGCGTCCATGTTACGTTCGGCATCGGATTGCCATTGGCTGGACAATGCAGTTGTATTGTAGAGCCAGCTGGTTTGTGTACAGTTTGAATGAGCTTATCCGCTTTTTTGAAACGTGGCGGACTTTCTTCTACCGCCTCCTGTTCATCGTTAGTATCAGCAGTATCTTTACTGTCTACATCCACATCACTAACAGTTGCTGGTTTATCGTGTTCCTTCTCTAACGCTGGGCCACCAGATGAATCGGCAGTACGTTTCTCCAGAATGAAGAATTTAGTTTTGGGGGCAATGATGGTGCTTTTCGGAAGTATGACTCGCAAATAAGCTGTAGCCATCGTTTTACCTACATCATTCGAAGCAATGCAGGTGTAACAGCCTTCGTCATCTGGCGTCACTTGCGTTATTTTTAACATGGCTGGGTTTTCTGCATTCGTCGGCAACTCAATTATATTCGGATTATTTGTGATATTCAAATATAGCTCATCCTTATTCAGTTGTTTCCTATGCATGATCCACTGAATCTGCACTGCGGTCGGTGATTCAACTCGGCACTCGAACTGCGCGCTGTTATTAACCATAACCGTTAGGTTGGCTGGTGTACTGTTCGCAATAAGTGGCTTTTCAGAGTGCAGCTGACCGACGATATGCAACCGTGTGCTGTGTTCAATGGTACCGAATTTGTTACTAATTTTGCAAGTGTAACTGCCAGTGTCTATAATACTCAGGTGCTCAATAAAAAGCGACCATTTTTTAAGCCTAAAACGCAAAGAAGTCATATCCATCCTTGTATTGTTATGCCACCAAGTAATTATTGGTAATGGATTTCCCATTGCGGGGCAGCTAAATTGCACGAAACTTCCAAGCGGTTGCTGTAAACTATTTATAAGTTTGTAGCTTTGTTGAAACTGTGGCGGGCCGGGATTCGGCAGGTGCACAATTTTTAAAGCAGTCGCATTCTCGCTTTTGGAGACTTCTTCTGGTTCCGCTTCCACATTTTCCTCCACTGTACCTTTGTCATCTTGATCCATTCGCAGCTTCGCTTCTTCTTCGTCTTCCACCTTACTAAAATCAGCTATGTCGTCTTCTGTATAGGCGGAAGTCTTTGCTAGCTCAGGTGCAAGTACTTTCAATGCAACGCTAACGTACTTTGCCCCTATTGGCACTTGCTCTGCCTGGCAGCTATAGACACCAGCATTTCCCGCTTGAACTTCCTTCAAAACTAGCAGTCTGTTAGCGCTTAGGAACTCGTCTTCTTTGTACCACTTAATGGACCCTTTAAGCAAGCACGTCAAACGCACATCGGTATTCGGCGCCACTACGGCTTTGGTGTGTACAACGCTGGGACTGAGAGTGATATTGACCACGTGAAAGGTCCGCAAACTGGGCGAGCGGCTGTCAACCAAACTTTTGGCTTGCGTCAAATAAGGCGGGCAGGTACAGAAAATAAGCGTGGTCAACATCAAAAAACGATGATGTCCGCAAATGAATGATTTCAGTCTAATTTTGATCATCGCAAAGATTAGTTCGTAGTGTTTGGAATTAAATTCCTTCAATTATCGGAAAACTTATCGGCAATGCGGATACGAATTACGGCTGCTTACTGCCGCAGTCGCAGTACTGTAGTATTTACTTTCATTCACTTCCATAAAAACTCACTCGCCCTCTCACAAGTTACGGCTTCTCTTTCCTTTGTACGCGCCCATAATTACATAGCTCTCAATAATTAAAATTCATATTGGACTCAAGGGGCTTTGCAGTCACTCGTAAGTTGATGACAGTTTTTATAACTACATAAATACATCGCATTGCTACTAAATATTAAAATGTCGTCACCGTCTTTTTAGTTCTTAAGCTGCATTTACATGAGGCGTTTTTTTAGGCGATTCAACATTGCTCCAGAAAAGTTGCTCGTGTAAATGCTGGTTCAAAAATCGGTTGCCTCAAAGTAGACAGCAAGTCAACTTTTGCAGGCGATTATCGCATGTCAAAAAATCGCCTCATGTAAAGGCAGCTTTATTGCTTTAGTATCGAACGTTGAGGATTATTGGTGGTAACTACCAGCACTCCCTTCACAGCTACGCACCCACCGCAGTAAAACACTGCCTAGAAGACTAAATCCACTATTTCACCGGTGTATGTGTGCATTTTATCACCACTGCCTGAACACTGATTTATTTAAATATGAACATATTACATACCGCCATATGTATATGCACACCTACATATGTATGTACATCTATACATATGCATAAGTAAAGGTAAACCGAAGTAAGGCGGTAAGAAGGTTCGTAGGCAGGCTGTGGGGAGCACGATAGGAGAATCGAATAAAAGGAAGAATTGAAAATAAAAAAACGACGTGCATTGATTTCATAATGAGTTTTCTTTTTTTTTCTATTTTTATGTTCAATTTTATTTACGCTTGCTTATTTCAATCACTTCGTTGGCTAGCACTCGCGCGACGCGTCAGCTAACTTGGCTTAAAGAAATGCTTTCCGCAAGCGGACCGAATTTTGGCAGTCCGCATGGACGGATGATCGCAATTCAGCTGTTATGCGTATTTAAATGCACGAATCGAATTGCCCCGTTTGGTGATGTCGTAGCTACGCATATAGAATTGTATTGCGGCTTGCGCGTCGCGTCGTCTTACGTTATTTTAATTCACTCAGCGAAAACAACAGCAACAACCGCTCAAACGACAACAGCAATACATACATTTAGCGAATGCCACTAATTTATAATTGCACACTTTTTGCTAGGTTTTCCATCGGTTTGATTGCTTTTTATCTCCCTACCTAAATAAATACAAAGTATGTATGTATCTATGTACATAGAAACAGATTTTTAAATAGTGCCAGTAGAAAAAAAAAACAAATAATAAGCGAAAAATAGTGCCAGCTAAGTCCACCCATATAGACAAGTTTTTACTATTTATATTTTTCCAAACTAATTTTTATAATTTTTTTTATAAAAAAATAGTTCATTCTACAACAAAAACCATATCAATCAAAGTTTAAACCCTGCTACAAAAATTAAAAAATTCAATGTTTTAACAAAATCTCAAACTTTGTATTCATTATTTTTAGAAAATGTTTGGATATGCCATTTTTTGTTGATGGTGTTGCGCATTTTTTTCACGTAAAATAAAATGCGAACATTCGTTATACGGAAGAAAATGCGCAACACCGTCAACAAAAAAGTTTGAAATTTTGATGAAACTGCTGATTTTTTTAATTTGCTGATTAATTTAATTTTTTTATACAATGTACAGGGGCAGTGGCGTTGCCAGAGGGGGCGATTTGGGGGAAAGATATAACGTATGACGATAATCGCCTGACGATAATCGCCTGACGATCTCGTATTGGCGATTGTCCTGCTTCATGAAATCCAAAAAATGTTTGACCGTTTGTGCGATATCGTCAACTCGATTCCAATTTTGCTTCTCGTAAGAGTTTGAAATATCTCGTAGTATTAAGTAAACTTACGTTCTTGCACGATAGTGATTTCAGTATCGTTTAAAAGAAAAAACTAGTACATATTTACGCACATATTTAATTTTTTTATTTTTACTAGTTTTTTAGGACTGGAATTGAAGAGATAGCTTTAATCCTTTATCCTTCCAAGAAAAAACATATGCAAAAACATTTTTTTATATTGTTTCTGACAGTCATTTCAGCCAATTTGTTTGCCTCAACTTAAATTCCGGCAGTATTAATATACATATGTACATTAGAGTGGTCCAAAAAAATAAAGTCGGAGTGTTAATGCCGGCACACCCTAGGATTGATCTATATCGAAAAAAAATATACCCCTATTTTTTATTTTGAAATCAAAAAATATTTAGGGAGTCCTCAAAGCGCTCAAAGTTTTCCATGTATTTTATATGGAGAAAAAAACATCTTTTCGTAGAAATAGTGTAAAATTCTTGAAAATCAATACTTTTCGATCGGAAAACTTTACTTATCTTCAGGAGATTTCCAGTAATAATACTCAATTGTTTCTTTAACAATTTTTTCATGGTAACTATATTTTATAGGTCCTCCAAAGCCCTTAGAAAATGCAATGGGGGACCAATAAAAAATCTTTAATCATAAAAATGGTTAAATAAACAATTGGATATTAATACTGGAAGTCTCCTGCAGAGAACCACAGTTTTCCGGTCGAAAAATATTGGTTTTCAAGAGTTTTATACCATTTCTACGAAAAATTGTTTTTTTCTCCACATAAAATACATGGACAACTTTGAGCGCTTTGAGCACTCCTTAAATATTTTTTGATTTCAAAATAAAAAAATTTGGGTATATTTTTTTCGGTATATAACAATCCTAGGGGGTGGCGGCATTAAAAATCCGACCTTATTTGTTTACTTACATTTTTGGACCACTTTAATGTATATATATTCTCCTTTGGATTCCTTAACGAAGGTGACTATCAGTAGTTTACTGAAAACTGCGCTTGGTTTTATCGAACGGAACTAATTATTCATTACTTTAATGTTTCAATTAACCACCGACATAAAATCAGACACTTTGTCAGCTGACGCGACCTATCTTATGGGATTTTTCTGCTAACTAAAACCACCGCAGGACCGCGATATTGTCATTACCCGAAAAAAGGCTTCTGTCTCTCTATCAATAGCAGTTGGATATGTTATATATAGGGAAGGGCGCTCCGTCGGTGGATAGCTGAACCATGGTCTGTGGTCAAAAAGGAATCTCTTTACAAAGTACTGCATCGTCCTTTTAGACGATGAATTAGAAGATGCATGTATTTTTTAACAGCAATGTTCTTCGAGAGTATCGTAAACGTTCAGGTATACTTTAAATTTCGCTAATATATTAAACGACTGTTATTTTATCTCCAATATTTCTCGCTACATCCTGTACCTAAGCGCCCGTTATTGTAAAGAGAATATCCATTATTGTCTCTTTACAATTCTTAGCCTGCATATCTTCCAACTTAAGCACTATCTATGGAAATTTTATAAAATGTATTCACAAATATTTTGGAAATCGTTGTTTAGCTACCTTATTGCAATAAAGTATATATAAGAATAAAGAAAAAAATGTGCTATAAAAAAATTAAAATAAAAAATCCTTGTCACTATGAATTGAACCCGAGACCAACAAAGTGGTAATCGAAAAAACCATTCGGCTACAGTAGCTATTAACCAGTGTTGGCAAAATGTTAATCTCATTAATGATTAAAAATTAACGATTAAAATGTTAATCGAGATTAACGATTGAAATTAATTAATCGTAATCATCCGTACGATTAATGATTAAATTTTTTTAATCGTTAATCGTCGGTTGTAATTACGATTAATTAATTGTTACCATTAATCGTTAATCCAATTAAAAAAATCTGATTAAGTGGTCTAGTTCGTCTGAATGTGAAACCCAACACGGATTATAGTTATTTTTTTGTGTTTCACGCTTATAAAAAACGCATAATATATAAAAAAATTACTATTATTATTATTATTAGTAGTACATAAACTGGGAATTTTTATAACCCATCGCCAGGGGCGGATCCAGCGGGGGGATTTGGGGGTTAAACTACGTGTCAGTCTGTGGCGGAGTGGATTAAAACCTAGTTCACTTAGCGTCTGTTAAAATAGATCTGAATGAAAATGCACACCAAATTGCTTAGATTTATGAGGAAAACCGACTTGCCATACCCGGTTAACTGGGCTTGTGTTCACAGTAAAATTCCAGCATAAATTAATTAATCACCAAACCTACTTAATCGAATTAAGGGTTAATGATTAAAAATTAATTTTTTTAATCGCGGTTATGATTAACCGTTTAATCAGATTAAAATGAATCATGGTGTACTGTAATCGGATTGAATTTAACCGAATTAACTAACTGATTAAAAAATCAATCGATTAGTGCCAACACTGCTATTGCCACAGCTGGGGAAAAATTAGTTGTTGAATTTATTAAAAAAAAAATTCTTAAAACTCTTTTTTTTTCTTAAAACTCTTTCGTTTGACACTAATATTTCGATATTTCATGTATGTATCTTTCGTATAAGTAAAACAAATTCGACTTCTCAAACAGGTGGCAACCCCTTTAAAAGTATTTTCAAACTAAAATCTTTCGCCTGGCATTGTTATATGAAGAATTAACTGAAGAATTAAGTTGAATTATATTCAACAATTTTTGTGAGCTTGAGGCCGTTTTTTAAGTGAAAACTTATTGTGGAAAAGCAACAATAATTTGAAAAAATGGTAGAAGTGATAGCTATTTCGGAAATCACCACATTTCTCATCAGACTTCTTTCAGTAGGATTCGAACCGACGATCACCAATGACTCAGCCAGTTGCCTACGCACTGTGCCAAGTTTGTCTTGTTAATTCTTGTTGCTTATTTTCCACTATTTCACTTTGCTAAGCCAACTACAATCAAGCGCAGCTATTCCGCTGCAATTCACTTGATCATGTGGTTGTTGGTTTTGTTGGTTTTTGTTAATATTTCTATTATTAGAATGTTAAACTTTTTAGGTGTGCTCGTCCTTAAGTTATTTGTTTTTGTTATTTTTATGGCCTTATAACGATTATATTCAACAATTTTTATGAGCTTGAGGCCGTTTGTTGAGGCCGTTGAGTTGAATTAAATTTTTTAAGCACATGGCAACTCTCCGAAATACAGTTTAGAAATAAATTATTTTCAAACCCATTTCGATTGATACCCATCTTTTGACAATCCATTTAACTTATTAAATAATTTCAGCTTAATTTTTTCAACAAAAAAAAACAAATGTTCAGCTTAAAGATATCTTAACACTCGTTCTTTTGATAACCATATTTTAAAATTGCATGTAACTTATGTATAATTAAACGAAATACCACTTTCAAAACAGGCAGCAACCCTCTTAAAAATTTTTTTCGAACTAAAATTTCCTTAAATATTTTTCTTCTGACATTGTGATAAATATTTCATGTAACTGATGAATTAAGTGGAAATTTATTTTTTTAACACGTGGCAATCCTCCTAAATATTGTTCTTAAATAAAGGATTTTAAACCCATTTCCATTGATAACCATCGGTTAGTAATTCATTTAACTTATTAAATAATTTTAGTTTAGCCCATTAAACTGGGGCAACCCTCAAACATATCAAAAATGTTCTAAATTGTCAAACTAAGTATTTCTTGAAGCTCTTGCACTTGACATCCATCGTTAATGTTTCATATAAAAAATAGTTCAATTAGACTTCTCAAATAGGTGGCAATCCTATTCATAATACTTTCAAACTACTACCTTCTTAAACCTCTTTTGTATGACACCCATATGGCGATACCTTATTCACTTACCTAATTCCTTTAAATAAAATTTAATTACATTTTTTTAACATGTGGCAACCCTCCTATACGTAGTTAAGTTATAAAGCCTTTTCAAAACCATTTCGATTGATACCCATCTATATATTAATACGCTAACATAAATTTTGTCTCCGTTCGTTTGGCGATTCTACCGAACCGACCAAGAACACCGTTGGAAAGGCATTTTTCCGTAGATGAGCAGAGTTTTTATGGTTTCACAACTGGTTGAAAATTACGGCCAAAACCGTCGTTTAAACATTTTCGAATTGTGTATAGATGTTGCTGCAACATGTTCAATTTGACATGTTTCGCATGTTGTTTCACTTCACATTTGAAATTAAGCTTTGAAATAAAGATAAATATGAAGATGAAGAAATAAATGATAACGATGAAGTCAAAAAAAAAGAAGGCAAAAGTGAAGATAAAGACGAAAATGGAGACAATGACAGATACATAAGAACTAGGGTAACTGAAAGGGTTTCTTGAATTTATGAAGTGAAACTTCTTTAGCGGCAGTTGGTTGGTTGGGAGTAAATTGTCAAATTCAAGGGGAATAATGCACATGGAAATGGTTCTCAGCGGTTTAGCTGTTTGAGTATAAAAACAAAAACAAAGATGCCTAGAGGTACAGGCAAACACGAAGATCAAAGTAAATTTAAACACTTTAAGGTAAAGGCGAAGAGGAATATGCAAAAATAAAGATAAATATGAAGAAAAGGATGAGAATGAAGATCGATATTGTTATCGATATAAAACTCGACATTTTTATCGATATAATAATCGAT